ACCCCGGCGCCACATATGCTTAAGACAGCCCTGCCTTCACTCTTTCCAGCGCAACACAATTGAAGAATAAAAATCCATGCTGGATTTAAGCTAAAAGCCAATTGATAAACTTTTAAAAAGTAAGTGCCACATATTATGTTCTTCCTTGATCGCTATCAGGAAAATACATTCTCCTAAAACACTTTCCCAGCACACGGGAAGGGTTATAGCCACAGAATGCGGCCATCAAATCCTTTACATTATAAAATTGCAGGGAAGTTTGAGTGCTGACCCACTGTTCCCTAGAGGTGGAGATTCCATTTCCAGGGCTGATTCTAACAGGCCTGCTGAAGAATGCTCAGCTCACAGAGTAGCAAAATAAAAATGCCATTCACAATCACACACTTTCCATCTGTCTCTTGTCATCTTACATGGCACCCCTAGCAATCAGTTTGCTTCCAAAAACTTGGCTTTGGAAGATATCGGTCTCACTCACACACAAAACCCATCCTATCCCTCCATTTATTGCTCTGGTTTTCCCCTTGACCACTGGAATGCGGGCCTATTGTTTCTCACTCTGAGGAACAAACATTGTGAGTGCTTGGCAAGAGGCCTCTTATTATTTTTAGAAACTGCTTTCTTTCTCCCTGTGTTTGGCCTGGGGAGTTTCCCCACCCAGGCACGTGGTCACAGCGCCACCTGTTGCCTGAACTGCAGAAAGCGGGCAAGTCATAGGAACAAGCGCTTCCAAAGGCAGAGATGGGAAACCTGTAACTTTCGAGATTTAGTTGGTCTCCATCTCCCATTAGTCTCAGCCAGCATGGGCAATGCACAGGGATGATGGGAGGAGTATAACACATCTGGAGGGCTACAGGTTCCCCATCCCTCCAATATTATTACTTGCTGCACTCATTTCTGGAGTCTGCTTAAAAATATTCCTGTTTAGATGCTTAGAAAGTTGATATAATTTTACTGTTTTAGTATTTTAACTTACGTATGTTTTAAAGCAAGGTTGTGAATTTTTCTTGAGTTTACTGTTTTGTCTTTTGCAAACTGCTTTGAGGTATTTTAGCAATCAGGCAGTGTATACATTTTATGAAACAATCTTGAGGAGAAACTCTCAGTTTGGGCAGGCAATATTCTGCATGTTCACTCCATTTAATAATAATGATGATGATTTTTTATTTATACCCCGCCCTTCCCAGTTCAGAAAACCGGGCTCAGGGCGGCTAACAACAAATCTAAAACACTTAATTGATGCAACAAAAACAGCCTAAAATACAGTACAGAACATGAATAACAATAAATTCAAAATCAATTTAGGGGGGAAATCCATCCAATAAACATTAGGTGGTCACCAGGGCTAGTTAGCTAAATTAGTCCTATTTAGTACAATTTCAATATTAAAAATATACTCAAAGCAATGTAAAGAAAAGAAAAGAAAAGAAAAAGCCTGAGGATGGGTCTCTCTCTCTCTCTCTCTCTCTGTGTGTGTGTGTGTGTTTGTGTGTGTGTGTGTGCTCCTCTTTCAAGATGTGCATTCCAGTGCTGAAACAGAGAGGACGAAATAATTTCATTTCCCTTCCTTGCAGTGCTTGACAAAAGTAAACATGGCACTATGCCAGTTTTCCTTCTCATCTCAAAGATGGATGAATAAATTCACAAGGTGCTTTCATACTCAGTCATCTCTATCCCTAATGATCAAATCACCCAATCCTAGGACCCCCACAGTCCTTGACATGAGAGGATACCTGTTTTCCTAAGAAATAGGTCTTTTCCTTCTCAGATCTTTCCCCTCAGAGCAACACCTCCTTCCCTGAAACCCTAATTTTCCCTGCCGGTGGGGGAGCTTACACCTTAGGAGTAGGATCAGAGCATTGTAGAGTTGGAAGGCTCCCCAAGAGTCATCTAGTCCAACCCCCTGCAATGCAGAAACCTGGATAGCGCCCCCAGCCTTGGGTGGAATCTACACACATTTTAAAAACACTGTGAAAATGCTTTTAAAAAATAAGTTTTGAAAAATACATCGAATTCGGCATAGCTCACTCTCACCATCTAGTGTCAAAACTGTATATTGCATGATACAACACATTTAAAACGTTTCATTTGAGCTGTATAGCTGAGTCCCTAGGGATGTGGGTGGCGCTGTGGGTTAAACCACAGAGCCTAGGACTTGCCGATCAGAAGGTCGGGAGTCCGAATCCCCACGATGGGGTGAGCCCCCGTTGCTCGGTCCCTGCTCCTGCCAACCTAGCAGTTCGAAAGCACGTCAAAGTGCAAGTAGATAAATAGGTACCGCTCCGGTGGGAAGGTAAACGGCATTTCCGTGCGCTGCTCTGGTTCGCCAGAAGTGGCTTAGTCATGCTGGCCACATGACCCAGAAGCTGTATGCTGGCTCCCTTGGCCAATAAAGCGAGATGAGCGCCACAACCCCAGAGTCGGTCACGACTGGACCTAATGGTCGGAGGTCCCTTTACCTTTACCTAGCTGAGTCCCTGCTAGCTGTCATATCTTTCCTCCACTCCTCAAAACATGTTTCTCTAGATATTATGGGAATTGTTTGAAAGAGATGGAGCATTTTGGGAAGGACATTCATTTTAATTATGGAAACTCATCCTCCTATTGATAATTTTAATCTGCTCCAATTTTCAAAATCCTTTTTTATTTCTTTCCAATCCTTATTATAATTATTTTCAAATAAATTGATATTTCTCATGGTTAATTCTATACCTAAATATTTTGCCTTTTTCACAATTTGCAATTTTGTCTTTTCCTGTAGATCTTTTTGTTCCTGCTCTTGCATGTTTTTCACCATTAACTTTGTTTTTGCCATATTCATCTTAAATCCTGATACACAGCCAAATTGTAGAATTTTCTCTATTGCTATTGGGACACTTGTTTCTGGTTCTTCAGTCGTTAAAATGATGTCATCCGCAAACGCCTTGATTTTAAATATCTTTCCCCCTGGTGTAATCCATTTTATTTCATCTTCATTTCTTCATTCTGAATTTAAAATTTTGAGAGTTAAAATGAATAATAAGGGCGAAAGCGGACAACCCTGCCTGGTGCCCTTCTCAATTTTTATAATATCGGTCTTGGTGTTGTTTACTATTAAACTGGCTTGTTGTTCTTTATATATTGCTTTGACACCTCTACAGAATTTTTCTCCAAGAGCTGATAGTTCTATAGTTTTTTGCAGAAAGACCCAAGATAGGTTATCAAAGGCCTTTTAGGCGTCTATTAGCATAAATGCTACTTTTTTGCTAGGTCTTAATCCAAATATTCAATTAAATTGATAACCACTCTAGTGTTTGTTGTCATATGTCTGTTTGGTAGAAGGCCTGATTGATCATAATTAATAGTGTCTTTTAGAATAGATTTGAGTCTGCTTGCCTGGCAGTCCAGTCATTCATTCATTATCACATCAGTGCAGGCAAATGAGGGCAAGGCCTTGGACTATGGCATCTGCAGAGTCACCAGAATCAATTCTTTATTTACTTAAAGCATTTTGTGCTTCTCTTTAGGCTTACAGAGTGGCTTGCTGATCAATAAAAATAAGCCAAGAGTGGCTTTCAGATCAATAATAAAAAAGCCCACCCAAACAGTTGCTACTCTCAGTCTTATAGAACTGAAAGACCCTGGCACAAAAGGAAAATGCAATAGGCAGGAAGCAAACAAATATAGTAGCTACAGAGTAACCATAGTTCGTATCATGATTCATAGAGTTGGAAGGGACCTCAAGGGTCATCTAGAGGAGGAAGAAGAGTTTGGATTTGATATCCTGCTTTATCACTACCCGAAGGAGTCTCAAAGCGGCTAACATTCTCCTTTCCCTTCCTCCCCCACAACAAACACTCTGTGAGGTGAGTGGGGCTGAGAGACTTCAAAGAATTGTGACTGGCCCAAGGTCACCCAGCAGCTGCATGTGGAGGAGCGGAGACGCGAACCCGGTTCCCCAGATTACGCGACTACCGCTCTTAACCACTACACCACACTGGCCCAACCCTCTTTTTCCCAACGTGGGGCTCAAATCCCCCCCCCCCAGATTAAGAGTCTCATGCTCTACCGACTGAGCTATTCCAGCAACCAGTTGAGATGGAAATTGATCAGGTTATGAAGGACCCAAAAGGTGCTGGATCCTTGAGTTTCTTTCTCACCCCTGTTCTCCCCACATTCCTTATATATTAAGGGGGGTTGGTTGTATGTTTTGTGTTTTTAATTCTGCTCCCTCATGCATACCGAAAAGGAGAGTATTGAGAAAAATAATAAATCCAAAGTCCACAATCGGGTCATACCTTTATTAGGCCCGACGAAACGTTGCAACTTGCATGCATTAAATCTCCCTTGACAATGTAAAAGTTCCAGAGAATCAAGAAAAAAAGGGGGGGGAGGAAAATAACAAGAGTACTGTGGCACTTTGAAAATTGTCATCTGTGTTGTCGCATTTGTATGTTACACATAGGATAGATGCTCAATCTCACATATCATGCATAGAGGACAAAGAGGGTGATAAAAAGCTATCAGTGAATAATAATAATAATAATAATAATAATAATAATAATAATAATAATATGCCCCCTCCAATATGACTGGGTTGCCCCAGCCACTCTGGGTGGCTCCCAACAAAAATTAGTAAAAATACAATACAACATGCATATGTTCTTCATCCAGTGGCAGAGACAGTGTGCCTCTGAATTCCAATTGCTGGGGATCACAAGTGGGGAAATTGTTGTTGAGTTTGGCTTCTGCTGTTGAGCCTTCCATAGGCATCAGGTTGGCCACTGTGAGAAAAGAATGTTGGGCCAAATGGACTATCAGGCTGATTCAACAGGACCGGTTTGCAGAGCAGCCTTCAGAAAACACACACACACACACACACACACGGCTGGCACATCACTTTTACCATGACTGCGCAAGCTTTTGAAAAGGAAGCAGCTTGCTGTGTACTTTATCCCTCCACAAGTTGATCATTGGCTAAGCTACCGAGATACCCTTTCTTCAACAAAGAGACCTTTGGAAGATTGAACGCAGAGAGATCTGGCATTCTATTGAGAAGGGGGGACAGTCAGAGCAGACTGCCACTCCGAAGTAGCTTAGAACCACGTATAGCAACTCACGAGGGTTGTGCAAAACTTAGTTGGCATGATGTATTGAGCTATGCAAACTCATTTCCTTCCTCCGGTGCACTTTGCTATCAAGAGTCATGGAGAAGATGCTTGTGAACGTAAAGAAATGGGTAGAAGAAAACAGAGCTGCCTTCTTGCCGCCAGTATGCAATAAGCTCATGTAAGTTAATGGGTTTGTGGGGGGGTTCTTTTATTAATGGAACATGTGCAGAATTATCTCCTTCTCTTGAGGGTCGGACTCAATGCAATAGCTTACAAGAAAGGAGATTCTGACAAAACATCATGAAAAACTTCTGACAGTAAGAGCTGTTCGGCAGTGGAACAGACTCCCACGAGAAGTGGTGAATTCTCCTTTCTTGGAGGTTTTTAATCAGAGGTTGGATGGCCATCTGTCATGGATGCTTTAGCTGAGATTCCTGCATTGCAGGGGGTTGGACTAGATGACCTGTGGGGTCCCTTCCAACTCGAAGATTCTAGGATTCTATAATTCACTGTTCTATGTTTCGTTGAAAACAAAATGTTGTTTTTCAATTCTTATGCAAATTAAAGAGGAGAGGAAAGTCATGGCTCAGTAGAGCAGCAATGCTTTGCATGCCAAGAGTTCCAGGTGCAGCTCAAGGAAGATCACTGGAAGATTCCTTTGTCTGAAACCCTGGAGGACCACTTCCAGTCAGTGTAGACAGTACTGAGTGTCTGATTCGGTACAAGGCAGCTCCCTATGGTCCTTGAGTGAAATACTGTATATGTCTGTCAAAGGTCTTCAATGTCTGGCCGAAACAGAAGCAATCAAACCTAAAGGCTGTTTTGCAGATTAAAAGCCATAGTTTTCAACATTAAATACACAGTAGTTCTTGATAATAAACATGCTTTGTAGTCTTTGTGGCATTCACAGATGCACTGATAATAATAATGTTGTATGCCTGTGGACAGCAGGTTGTAAGAGTGTACAACACTCCACAAATAGTATTTTTCACACCTTAAAATAAAACACAGGTTCATAATAATAATAATAATAATAATAATAATAATAATAATAATAATTTATTATTTATACCCCGCCCATCTGGCTGGGCTTCCCCAGACACTCTGGGCGGCTTCCAACAAAATATTAAAATACAGTAATGCATCAAACATTAAAAGCTTCCCTAAACAGGGCTGCCTTCAGATGTCTTCTAAAAGTCTGGTAGTTGTTGTTCTCTTTGACATCTGGTGGGAGGGCGTTCCACAGGGTGCCACCACCAAGAAGGCCCTCTGCCTGGTTCTCCGTAACTTGGCTTCTCACAGTGAGGGAACCGCCAGAAGGCCCTCGGCGCTGGACCTCAGTGTCTGGGTAGAACGATGGGGGTGGAGACGCTCCTTCAGATATACTGGACTGAGGCCGTTTTGAGAAGAACTCCAGGTTTTGAAGAAGCAAGTCATATAACTGGGAAACATGTTTGAGTTTTCCAGGCACCAAGAGGGTGGGAATAACATATCATAATCAAAGTGCAACAACAATTTTAGGATAGCTCAGAGGTGGGCTGTGCAACCACTTCAGACTCAAGAAGATATGGGATGATTCAGCTTGAATCTGAATTGAATTGAAGCCACTCCGACTTTCTCTGAGTAAATTGGGAGTGATTTGAGCCCAATTGGAGCTTGGAACTCTGTCTAAGCTTGGCTGCCTGCCCCCCCCCCCCCAGTGTTGCAAAACACCATATTAGGTGGATGCCAGTTTGGGAAGTTGTACTTTGCTCACTGAGAGCTCTATCTCCCAACCCAGATCTAAAGTCTCATTGAACACTTTCCAATCACAGTGCTTGGAGAGAGGGATGGTGAAAACTCAGCTCTCACTGGCTTCATTCATTTGCAAGCTCCCTCTCTGAATGTTAGAAAGCAGGAATGTGGGAGAAATTTGATTCATTTCTCATGTAGAGGTGAAACTCACTAATTTACACTATTTGAAACAATACACGAGCATCCTTTGAAATTTGAACTTCTCCAAATTTTGCAGTCTAGTTTGTTGACCAAGTAAATTGTATAAAAGTGCACCTGTCAATGAAAATAGCATGCAGATATGCTTTATATCAGGGAAGCCAGCCATGCAAAATTGTGCAAATAGGCAAGGTTGCATACAAAAATGCTGGTTTGAAGAGTCTTTACTCTTTTATCCTTTTATGCCTTAACTTATCATAGGTTTATGTTAAAAATTGGTTTTTTTATTACCCTGCAGGCACCGCTATCAGCTCAATGTAATGTTTGTTGGTGGGCCAAACCAAAGGAAGGATTATCATATTGAAGAAGGAGAAGAGGTAACCCATTGGGAAGTCTTTCATTTAGTGATTTGGGTACAATGTCCTTACATAGGCTTGCACTATCTAAGACGCAATGCCCTCTAGATGTTGTTGGACTACTACTTCCATCATGCCTGATCATTGGCTACTCTAGCTGAGACTGATAGAGGAGTAGGGGACTGTTATCATTAAGCTATTTTTTTAAAAGCGAGCATCTTAGCCCAGGCATAGGCAAACTTGGCCCTCCAGATGTTTTGGGACTACAACTCCCATCATCCCTAGCAAACAGGACCAGTGGTCAGGGATGATGGGAATCGTAGTCCCAAAACATCTGGAGGGCCGAGTTTGCCTATGCCTGATCTTAGCATTCGTAGCTTGCAGTTTTCCATGTATCCAATAGATGTCAGCATATTCCCTCATATTGAATTTTTAAAACCTCAGTTCAGTTTTCCAAAACTGATTGTGCGGGCGCTGCAATATACATGAATCCCTTGCAGACTGTACATATGGCATTGTGATATGCATACTTTAAATTAAGTTTTCCCCTCTCCTACACTGTAGTTGTTCTACCAGCTGGAAGGAGATATGTGCCTGAAGATAATAGAGAATGGAAAACACAAGGATATCTACATTAAAGAAGGAGAGGTAAACATATGCTTGTAAATGGTTAATCGAAAATGGGTGGGGGAAATATGCAGATAAAGCAAGGGTGTATTTGTCATAGTTCTCTCTGCTGAAGAAACAAGCCACATTTTCCATTGACTTGTGGCTTACCTCTTCAGCTATAGGAATGTTTGCATGAAAAGAAAAACAAGCAAACAGAATGAGCTCTGGGTGCTCCTGGAGTCCTCCCCTTATCATGTGTATAGCATACCCTCCAACATTTCTCCAATACAACCTCTGTATCCTCCATCCAGACAAGCAAGAGGTATTATCAGAGTTCTAGGACACGTTCCAGCCAGAAAACATTCAGGGGGTGAAACAAGGCCAGTGTATGGCCTGAGGAGAATTCTGAGGGCCAGATAGAGCAGGATTTGTCCCCCACACCTGAGGTTCCCCACTCCTGTCATGAACTATGGCAACTGTTTCCACTTCCTTTCTTTTCTTTTTCTGGGCAGATGTTCCTCTTACCAGCCAGGATACCACATTCCCCTCAGAGATTCGCAAACACTGTGGGATTGGTTATTGAGAGAAAAAGATTAAAGACTGAAACCGATGGACTCAGGTGAAATATAATCTTCTTAAAACTCTGACTCTATTACCTTGAGCAACTTTGAGAACAATTTTGGTTCAAAAAAAGTGGCATACAAATACTGTAGTATAAATATAGTACTTATGCAATATGTAACCTCCTCGGGGCACAAACCTGGGCAGTGTGTATGGAGTTCCTGGGCTGCCCAGATGATAAGACCCCCCCCTTTCGGCCTCACTGATGTGGTCCAAAGGAAAGTAGAGCAATATGCTTGGCTGCTGGAGTTACCAGAAGGAGGCGTACAACTGTCTTAGGGCCTCCACTCTGGGTTTGCGTAGGGTTTACTCCTTAGCATTTTCTTCTCCCAAACATATCCCACAAGGCAACGAAGGTTTAGCATCAGAGTATTCCTTCTCCTCGATGGGTCACCTTCCCAGGTTGATGAGCCCCATCTGCTCCTCGCTTCCTTCTACATGCAGAAACCACCTTCTTGACCATTGAACCCTCCACTGGTCGCAGAGCCTGTCTTCACATTCAGGGGAAGTCCCTAACTCACTGAGGGTTTGAGACCCATCAACTACCCTTACCTGGTTTAGCTGGTGTAGCCGCTGTTGCATGCTGGCAGCTTCTAGGAGTCACAGGTGAGATCTGAGTGTAGGATGGAGACCAAAGTGGGACAAACTAGCCCATAAGGAGCACAATGTGTGTGTGTGTCCCCCATAGGTACTACCCCTCCTGTAACATCCTACACATCCCGTGAAGCTAACTTCAGTGCTGATAAAGCACCCCTGGAGACACACTGCACTGTCTCTCTAGACAGATGGATGCCAACAAGTATGCAATGTGTAGTAAAAAACATATTGAGGAAAGAGTCAGTGGGATGGCACATATTTGCACACAGAGGGTCTGGTGTCTCAAGGTTGGGCTGGAAATGTCCTCAGTTTCAAATCCTGGAGATCTTCTGCCCATCAGTGCAGACAATACTGTGCTTAATGACGACAAGGATGTGCTGCCGTGTATTAGAATTAACTGAAGTCCAATCTAAGCTGAAATCAGATTTCAAGATTCTCACTGGTGCCGAATTTTATTATCCTACCCAGTGCAGATAAGTTCAAATCAAAGCATTATACGTTTATTTGTTTTTACCAGTGCATAATATTTTGAAACACATTTAGAGAGTAAAATAACACAGCCTTCCATTTTATATGATACAACCGCTTAATGCAGTTCCTCCCCCACCTTTTGATCAGATACTACATTGGAGAATCAACCAATGTCCTTTTTGAGAGATGGTTTTACTGTGAAGACCTTGGCACACAACTTATCCCAATAATCCAAGAGTAAGTTTTCTCCATTTTATTTCATTGGGCTGTATCCAAATAACTTTTATTCAGAGCTGACCCACTGAAATTAATGGGCCAAGTTGTTGTTGTTGTTGTTGTTGTTGTTGTTGTTGTTGTTGTTGTTATTATTAGCTGCTCATCTAACTATCTGACTGGGTTGCCCCAGCCACTCTGGGCAGCTCCAACAAAACACTAAAAACACAATGAAATACCAGCCATTAAAAACTTCCCTGGTGTCTTCTGAAAGTCAAATAGTTGTTTATCTGTTTGACGTCTGTTGGCAGGGCTTTCCACAGGGCAGGTGCCACTACCCAGAAGGCCCTCTGCCTAGTTCCCTGTAGCTTCACTTTTCGCAGAGGGAGTGGGAAAGCAAGAATGCATTTGTAATGTCGCCCAGACATACAATTTGGTTACCTATATTAGTCTGAAAAGTTTTACTCCTTTAACATTTGCCATTCCAGGTTTTTCAGCTCAAGGCAGTATCAGACTGGAAAACCCAATCCAGGTAATATAAACTGATTTCAGAATCAAAGCAATTATTCAACAAGCAATAATATGGGTGGTTTTTCCCCCCTTTAAGGAAAGCTTAATTAACAGCAAAAAAAACCCCTATTATTACTGGCTGTACTGGCTGTGCACACATGACACATTCAAAGCTCACAGACCTTGAGGATCCTGGGAACTTTAGTTTACCACTCACAGAGCTACTATTCCCAATCTCAGCACCCTTAACAGTTTTCAGGATTTGGGGATGGCGGTGGATGTGATTTAAATGTATGGTATGTACAGAACCACTGTCTCTCTTTAAACACTGCTCCAAATGAAATAACTTCTTCAGGAGAAATGCTAACTTTCTTCTCTCTTTTTCTCTTAACTGAGACTCTGCCAGAATTAAAGGGTAGAGACAAGAGGGAGATGGATTTAGTGCCTAGCTTTCTCTGAGCTTTTCAGGATCTCAAAAATTAAAATACATAGCTTTCTAACAAAGCTTTTCACAAGAAAGAGGAATACTTTGGTCTGGAGTGTTTGTGCTTCCTCTGACAGCTTCAATAAACTTGTGCAAAAGGTTCGGTTCAATTCCCATGGTGAAATATTAGGAGAGCTCTTAGGGATGATTGTTTGCACACGGCCCCACAGAGCGGCTTCCATGGTTAAGAGTATTACAAAGCAAAAGAGGAGCTATTGTGTTTTATCTAAGGTGTTTATTCCCGCCCCCCTTAAAAACTCTTATGAGAGTATTTCTCTCTCCTCTATTATATTAACAATAACAAAACCACTGGTGTTTATTTCTAGATACAAAGAAGCTAGACTACTTGAAGCCAGTTTGTCTCTTAAGCGTAACACAACAGACAGAGTAGATTAAAAAACGGCAAATGCTATAATTGCATTTTAGCAACAGCCATTGGGTTTTACAGTGGTTTATCCTGGGGGGACACAGGTGGCGCTGTGGGTTAAACCACAGAGCCTAGGACTTGCTGATCAAAAGGTTGGCAGTTTGAATCCCTGCGACGGGGTGAGCTCCGTTGCTCGGTCCCTGCTCCTGCCAACCTAGCAGTTCGAAAGCACGTCAAAGTGCAAGTAGATAAATAGGTACTGCTCCAGTGGGAAGGTAAATGGCATTTCCGTGTGCTGCTCTGGTTCACCAGAAGCAACTTAGTCATGCTGGCCACATGACCCAGAAGCTGTACGCCGGCTCCCTCAGCCAATAAAGCGAGATGAGCGCCGCAACTCCAGAGTTGGTCACGACTGGACCTAATGGTCAGGGGTCCCTTTACCTTACTATCCCAGGGATGGAGAAGCTGTGAACCTCCCATATGTTGTTGTCCTCCGGTTCCCATCAGCCCCCAAACAGCAAGGTCAGGGATGATGTGAGCTGTAGTTCAGCAAAACATCTGGAAAGCCATGAGCCCCCCATTCCTGGTTCACCCCTAACTGTGTGCTACACTAGAACTGTTGTTGTTGTTGTTGTTGTTTACTCGTTTAGTCGTGTCCGACTCTTCATGACCCCATGGACCAGAGCACGCCAGGCACTTCTGTCCTCCACTGCCTCCCACAGTTTGGTCAAACTCATGCTGGTAGCTTCGAGAACACCATCCAACCATCTCATCCTCTGTCGCCCCTTCTCCTTGTGCCCTCCATCTTTCCCAACATCAGGGTCTTTTCCAGGGAGTCTTCTCTTCTCATGAGGTGGCCAAAGTATTGGAGCCTCAGCTTCACGATCTGTCCTTCCAGTGAGCACTCAGGGCTGATTTCCTTAAGAATGGAGAGGTTTGTTCTTCTTGCAGTCCATGGGACTCTCAAGAGTCTCCTCCAGCACCATAATTCAAAAGCATCAATTCTTCGGCGAACAGCCTTCTTTATGGTCCAGCTCTCACTTCCATACATCACTACTGGGAAAACCATAGCTTTTACTATATGGACCTTTGTTGGCAAGGTGATGTCTCTACTTTTTAAGATGCTGTCTAGGTTTGTCATTGCTTTTCTCCCAAGGAGCAGGCGTCTCTTAATTTCGTGACTGCTGTTACCATCTGCAGTGATCATGGAGCCCAAGAAAGTAAAATCTCTTACTGCCTCCATTTCTTCCCCTTCTATTTGCCAGGAGGTGATGGGCCCAGTGGCCATAATCTTCGTTTTTTTGATGTTGAGCTTCAGACCATATTTTGCGCTCTCCTCTTTCACCCTCAATAAAAGGTTCTTTAATTCCTCCACACTTTCTGCCATCAAGGTTGTGTCATCTGCATATCTGAGGTTGTTGATAGTTCTTCCAGCAAACTTAATTCCGGTTTCGGATTCATCCAGTCCAGCCTTTCGCATGATGAATTCTGCATATAAGTTAAATAAGCAGGGAGACAATATACAGCCTTCTTGTACTCCTTTCCCAATTTTGAACCAATCAGTTGTTCCATATCCAGTTCTAACTGTAGCTTCTTGTCCCACATAGAGATTTCTCAGGAGACAGATGAGGTGATCAGGCACTCCCATTTCTTTAAGAACTTGCCATAGTTTGCTGTGGTCGACACAGTCAAAGGCTTTTGCATAGTCAATGAAGCAGAAGTAGATGTCTTTCTGGAACTCTCTAGCTTTCTCCATAATCCAGCACATGTTTGCAATTTGGTCTCTGGTTCCTCTGCCTCTTCTAAATCCAGCTTGCACTGAGACTTCCGGTTTGGATCGCCTGCAGCATGGGTGCGCGGAGAAGTTGCTGAACAGCCTTTTCCGAACTGCATAGGGTTCAGAGGGGGCAACGCAAAGGCACTGCGACCCCCGAAACCTCAAGGGGGTCCCCCTTGAGGGAAGCGCAACCGGTAGCGTCAGAGGGACCCGAAGCCCCTGTGAGTTTTTTCTATTTTGGGAAAGCTCGGGAGCGACGGACCGAGAGGCGCAAAATGGTAAGCCCTGCGAACCCCGTGCAGTAATGCCTCGAGCCCCAGCTGGAATTGGCGACAAATCTCCGTAACTTTAAGAACAACCGCCGCGGGGCTACCTAACAAATGTCGGAACTGAAAATTTGGAGTATAGAGCCCGTGGCGTGTTGGAGACAACTCAATTAAACTAAGGAGCCCGATCTGCTTTTCGGAGCTAAGATGGCGCTGGGACGCTAATCGGGGGAAGTGAAACAAAGAAACTTTTACCTACCCGCTGTAGAAACGAAGAAGGGAAAGTCCCCGTCAGGAGTTTCACGGGGCAAAAGTACTCAAGATAGATAGTATTTACACGGAAAAGAGACTCTCGAGACTTTGTATTAAACAGATCGCTACAGTTAAATTGGGGAGAGAGACTAAGGCGAGCACTGAGAGGAGCGAAAGGAGGCAAGGACGGGAGGAGGAGACGGAGGGGGAAGGAAGGGGGGAGAAGAGCTTAGCCTGAGAGACGGAGGAGACGAACCTTATCCCCCCCAAATATCTTAGGAGTGATTTTTGCCGACTTTGAACCTCCGTTCCCCTCCTTTTTTTCTTTCTTTTTATTTTCGCTCTCTGCTCCCTCCCCGCACTTTTTTCGGCCCCCCCTGGCTTCCGCTGCTTTTGCAGCTGGGCAGCCACGGGAGGAAAACTCTGTGTGAGCCTGAGCACGTACACCAGCCCCTATTCTCATTGGACTGCAACTAAGCTAAAATTGTGAGACCTAGCCTGAAAACCCAGCGCGACCTCGATTTTTGGCCAGACTCTGACGGACTTAACTATAGTCCAGGATTTAACTCCAAAAAGAAACACAAGATCTTTGACTCTGACTCTCTCTAGCTTGATTTCGACCAAACTGTGGGAGGCAGTGCCCAACTGGAAGAATACCTGCCTTTGGAAGGAGGCGGAAGTTTTGTTCTGTGCCTCATTTCAGCTGGAAGCAAGGACTGAAACCTAGTCATCCCGCCATCTTCTTTGCCTGCAGAGTACTTAAATCCCATAGAAAGATTTAGAAACCCAAAGGACCTTAAGCGGTGCGCGACCCCTTGTTTGTTTTCTTCCCCCTTCCCCCTCCTTTTTCCCCTTCCACGTGTGCTCCCCCTTCCTGCCTTCCCTGCTTTCCACCCCTGATTTGCAGTTTTGGCTGCCTCTATGGAGATACCAAGTTGAATGTGAACAAAACCACCACTTGAACTAAATTTGAGCATCGGGCGGCTGTTAAAACCAGAACTTTGGATTAGGCCAAACAAGTGGCTGAAACAAAATCAGAAGAAAGAATCTCAAACGCCCCCCCACTGGATTTTTTGTCCCCCTTTATTGCCTCTTGTCTTTCCCCCTTTCCTAGCCCCACCTGACCTTCCCTCCCCCTATGTGCATATACCTATGGAACTTAAGTGCTTCAACTTGCCAAAGGAGTAAGCCAACGGAATTTCTTTCTAGATTGTACGCCCCTCAGGGGTCAGCAGAGAGAAATATAAGATTGGCTATCATCTAGGATTGGGGAGGAGGGAGGGAACAGACTGGGAGGATGGCGGGAAGAGACGGGAAAAAGCCGGTGGGAACACCTATAGAGAGGAAAACTTCAAGGCAAGAGGAAATAAGAGACCTAGATGCCTTATGGCTAAAAATAAAACAAAATAAAACACTGCTTGTGTTGGCTATTTGCAGTATAGTAACGCTGCAGAGAGCTTGCTGGGGAGACCATGCATTAAAAAGGGACTCAAAAATAATTTAAACAAGGTTTTAATTACAAAAACAAAAACTCCTTATACACTAAATACATCAACAAATAAACATGACCCAAGCACCAACCCATTCCCCAGGGTTATGGGAGAGCTAGGTGCTGCTCCTTATATACTACACCCAATTTCTGACACAGCTTAATCAGTACAACTCAGCAGCACCTGCTATGTTTCACAGCTGTAAAGCTGGGTCTCGTTATTTTGCTCTGGCCCTTGCTCTGGCCCCTTAAAGACATACACATCGGGTGGAACAATGATGAACCTTTACATTTAAAGAAACCATTCAACATTTCCCCTGCGGTTCATCATTGTGGAACAAAAACATAAAGCATATTTTGTACATGTCTTTCATGTGTAACTTTTGGAAGTGCTTTTGTAAAAATGTCCGCAATTTGATTGTTACCTGGAACATATTGAAATACGATCATTTCGTCAGCAATTAGTTTCTTTACAAACTGCAAACGTAACCTTAAGACTCTAGTGCGCTGCGTATTGGTCTCTGAACACAGGATAGCAAGTCCGCTCTAGGAATCAAGGTAAACTTTTACTGGTAGTGTTACTTGCATCTGTAGGTCTGCGAATACTTGCAGATACCATTCTAAATCACAAGTGGCCTGAACGCATGCACATAATTCACTCTCTGTTGTGGAGAGACAAATAATGGTTTGTGTCGGGACTTCCATTCAAATCGACAACCGTTATAACAAAACACCATACCAGACACACCCCTGAAACTATTTTGGTCCACTGCATGAGATGCATCACAGAAAATTTCAAAACCTTGGTCAATACTTGATGTAAACTGCAACCTATAATGTTTGGTATGTTTAAGGTACATTACCACTCTTTTAAGAGCAGAGAAACATTGCGTAGTGGGCTTTTCCACAGATTTTGCCAGAAAGTGAAAAGCATAAGTTATATCTGGTCTTGAGATTCTTTGAATGAAATTTAGCTTGCCTATAGCAGAACGATACAAAGTTTTGTTAGGAAATAGCTTATCTTCACCTGTAAAGGTGAAACCACACACCATAGGCGTTTCCTTCCCATTTGCATTTTCTAAACATAGCATTTCAACAAGATCATCAATTTTTGCAGTTTGATGAACCAGAAAAGATCCATTTTTGCCTTTCTCAATTTGCATGGATAAGTAATTTTTAGCTATGCCTAATTCCACCACTTCAAATTTCTTCTGTAACTGTGAAACTACCTCTTCATATTCCTGTTTAGTTTTTGTAGAAATTAACACGTCATCTACATACACATATCTTTTTGTTACAGAGTTTGCCCTTTCCTTTATAAACACACAATTGTCTGCCTTTCCTTGTGAAAAACCAATATCCAGCAATTCTTTTGCTAAAGTTTGTTTTTTTTTAATATAAATTTTTATTGATTTTCCAAACACATAATAAAAACAAACAATACACAAAACAAAGACATACAAACATATAAACATGTATAATTTCATAATCTTATTTTCATACACCTTACTTCCCGGACTTCCCCATACCTCCCCTTTTCTGCATCCTTGTTTTACATTTCTTCAGCAACTCCTCCAATTAACTAATTATTTAATTCACTTTCATTAGATTCTTTTTTCTTTAAGTTATTGATTACAGCTGCAATTCTCTATTTCTTAGTTCCTTAACATCTTAACACTCCTCAATTTTACAGCAATTTTTAAGATATATTTTAAATTTCTTCCAGTCTTCTTCCACTGTCTCTTTCCCCTGGTCACGGATTCTGCCGGTCATCTCTGCCAGTCCCATATAGTCAATCACCTTCGTCTGCCATTCTTCCAGAGTGGGTAGTTCTTGTGTCTTCCAATACTTTGCCAAAAGAGTTCTTGCTGCTGTAGTAGCATACATGAAAAACGTCCTATCCTTCCTTGACACCAATTGGCCAACCATGCCCAGGAGAAAAGCCTCAGGTTTCTTAGGAAAGGTCCACTTAAGGACTTTCTTGATTTCATTATAGATCATTTCCCAAAAGGCTTTAATCTTCGGGCAGGTCCACCAAAGGTGATAAAAGGTACCTTCAGTCTCATTACATTTCCAGCATTTATTATTGGGCGAATGGTAAATTTTTGCAAGCTTGACTGGGGTCATGTACCACCTGTAAATCATTTTCATTATGTTTTCTCTTAAGGCATTACATGCCGTAAACTTAACACCTGTGGTCCATAACTGTTCCCAGTCAGCAAACATAATGTCATGACCAATGTCTTGTGCCCATTTAATCATAGCTGATTTCACCGTTTCATCCTGTGTATTCCACTTCAACAGCAAATTATACATTCTTGACAAGTTCTTAGTATTAGGTTCTAACAGTTCTGTTTCTAATTTTGACCTCTCCATCTGGAAGCCTATTTTCCTGTCCTGTTTAAATATCTCATTTATCTGAAGGTAATGCAACCAGTCTCGTACCTTGGACTTTAATTTCTCATAACTCTGTAGTTTAACTTTTTCACCATCTTGTTCTAAAATTTCACAATATTTTGGCCATTTAGACTCCATATTAAGTTTTTTCACCTCTTTAGCTTCCATTGGTGACAACCACCTGGGAGTTTTACTTTCCAATAAATCTTTATACCGCATCCAAACATTGTATAATGCTTTCCTAACAATATGGTTTTTGAAACCTTTATGCAATTTTACCTTGTCATACCATATATATGCATGCCAACCAAATCTATTATCAAACCCTTCCAGATCCAAAATGTCTGTATTCTCAAGAAGCAGCCAATGTTTCAACCAGCAAAAAGCTGGCGATTCATAGTAGAGTCTTAAGTCCGGCAGGGCAAACCCCCCTCTATCTTTTGCATCAGTTAAAATCTTAAATTTTATTCTGGGCTTTTTGCCTTGCCAGACAAATTTAGATATGTCTTTCTGCCACTTCTTGAAACAGTCCATCTTGTCCAAAATCTGCAACGTCTGGAATAAAAACAACATTCTAGGCAATACATTCATCTTGATGACAGCAATTCGGCCTAACAAGGAAAGTCTCAACCTTGACCATATTTCTAGATCTTTCTTTACTTCTGTCCAACATTTGTCATAGTTGTCCTTAAATAAGTTCACATTCTTAGATGTTAAGTTTACCCCCAGGTACTTCACTTTTTTCGTTATCACTAAACCTGTTTCACTCTGAAACTTCTCTTTTTCAGCCAATGTTAGATTTTTCTCCAACACTTTCGTTTTCTGTTTGTTCAGTTTAAATCCTGCTACTTGACCAAATATCTCAATTAGTTCTAATACTCTTTTAGTACTAGTATCTGGCTGTTGCAAGGTCAATACTAGGTCATCTGCAAATGCCCTTAACTTGTAATGTCTGGCTCCGACCTGAACTCCTTTAACCAACTGGTCCCCTCTGATCATGTTTAACAAAACCTCCAGGACTGATATAAAAAGTAAAGGGGATATTGGGCATCCCTGTCATGTACCTTTTTCTATGGGTATTTCTTCCGTAACCACATTATTTACAATTAACTTTTCTTTTTGTTTAGAATATATTGCACCTATACCGTTTTCAAAACCTTGGCCTACCCCCATCCCTTGGAGATTCTTCTTCATAAAGCTCCAGCAAATATTATCAAAGGCTTTCTCCGCTTCCACAAAAATTAAAACAGCCTTCCTATTAATGTCCATCTTTTGCTAAAGTTTGGTGCCAATTCCTTCCACTTTGGTGCAGACCATAAAGGGATTTATTTAATTTGCATACCAAACCTTAAGCGGCGTCTATGCCTTCAGGAATACGCATAAAAATTTGTTCTTTTAAATGTGCAAACAAATATGCAGTTTTTATATCTAAATGATAAACAGAATGTCCACGTTGTGATGCATCTTTTAACAAAAGCTTAACTGTTTCATATTTTACACTTGGTGAATAACACAAATCATAATCTTCACCTGGAATTTGTTGAAAACCCCTAGCAACTAATCTAGCCTTGTACCTTACAACTTCATTTTTGTCATTCATTTTAACTCTATAAACCCATTTTGAATCAATGAGTCGCATATCTGGGGTTTGTGGTACAAGAGACCAAGTGTTATGCTCTTTTAAAGAAGCTATCTCGGAGTTCATAGCTTTATACCAATTTACAGCTTGGTGCTTAGGTAATTTCTGAACATCATTGTAGCTTTTTGGCTCAAAAACCTCCTTATTGGCATACACAGTATTAAAATGTTCATCTGCAAAACGTTGTGGCTTCTGCCTCTTTCTATCTGAACGTCTCAGTCCGGAAGGAGAGTCAGACTCCTCAGACTTAATGGGACTAAGTGAACTAAAGGGCAGAGAGTGTTTCAGACTGTTTCAAAACAATCAGGAAATGCAGGATATTAAATTTGGAAGTGCTGCGTTTTGTTCCATATTGGCCAAGAGAATCCCTAGAAGGCATTTGAACGTGCAGTAGGGACGTAATGAGTAGTGGCAGTAAACGTGTCTGCTTAATGTTGTCTGTATTTATGACAAAGCAGGAGTTGAAAGACCTAATGGGTGGCAGGTTTCAAGAAGCTGGTGAAGGGCAGGAGAAGCAGTCGTGGACTGTTAGATAATTTGAAATTTGGCCCTTGTCCTTTTCTACCCATATGTTTGAATCTTCTGAAACACCAAGCATTAATATGACAATATCACATGTTCTTGCAATAAGCTTTCTGATGGGCAAACACCTGTCACCACTTTTAAAGCAATCAGAAATATCTATCTATCTTTTCTACCTCTAGATTTTCTTTATTTTTAGATGAACTTCTGAAAGAAATGCCTTTCCCGTTAAATGAAGCCAAGGTCATGGATCCTTTTTCCTTTCAAGGCTGGCTGAACGATCATCGTGAAGAGATAGATCAGAAGAAATCCTTCAGACTTTTTGGAGACAGCTCTGAAACTGAGGTAGAAAACACATGAGTACTTTGAAAAGGAGGAGTTGGGTGAATTATTTTTTCAAGTGAACACGCAGCCTCCAGTGTAGAAGTGTTTTTTGTATCTTATTCAGGGGCAGAGAATAAATGATAAAAAAGATAATCTAGCCTGAAGATGTCCATTCTCTCTCTCTTCTGTTGGCCTTGGACAAGGATGAGGAATCTCTGCCCAATCTCTGTTGGACTCCCAGTAGATGAAGTCAGCTGTAGTCAAGCCATGTCTGGAAGAATGCAGGTTCCCAAACCCTGAACTAGGAGAAACTCTATAGCAGTTGTATGCCCAACAGCCGTTCTAGGGAGCTATACAGATTTCTGCTAATACACAAACTGATTTACACCTGAGGAACACTGATTTAGTCATCAAGAGACCAAACAAGTGACGTTAAATGTGCCTTTTCAGTTAACATTAAACATAAATAAAAATAGATATTTATATAACTTATTCAAAGTGTTGGTGCTGACCTTTAAAGCCCTAAACAGCCTTGGCCCTGTATTCCTGAAGGAACATCTCAACCCCATCATTCTGCCCAGATATTGAGGTTCAGCTCTGAGGGCCTTCTAGTGGTTCCCTCACTGCAAGAAATGAGGTTACAGGGAACCAGGCAGAGGGCCTTCTCAGTAGTGGTTCTCTGCATGTGGAACGTCCTCCAATCAGATGTCAAGGAGATAAATAACTACCGTATTTTTCGCACCATAGGACGCACTTTTTCCCTCCTAAAAAGCAAGGGAAAATGTGTGTGCGTCCTATGGAGCAAATGCAGGGGGGGAGGCAGGCAGGAAAAGCCCCCAAGAGCCACACACAAGCTCCGTGCGCCCTTGCGGGCTTTTCCACAGGAGGGAGAAGGGACTGACTGGCCGCATCAGTCCCTTCTCCCACCTCCCAGGAAAGCCAGGAGAAGCCGTGCAGCCCTTTTAAAGTGCACGCGGCTTCTGCCGGTTTTGCGGGAGGTGGGGGGATTCCCCCACCTCCCAGAAAAGCCAGGAGAAGCCGCGCAGCCCCTTTAAAGAGCTCACGGCTTCTGCGGGCTTTTGCGAGAGGTGAGGGAATCCCCCCACCTCCCAGGAAAGCCAGAAGAAGCCGTGCAGCCCTTTTAAAGTGAGCGCGGCTTCTGCCGGTTTTGCGGGAGGTGGGGGAATTCCCCCACCTCCCAGAAAAGCCAGGAAAGCCCTGCGCAGCATCTCCCGGCAAGGAGAGGCTGCGCGGGGCTAAAGGGGAAGGCAAAACAGCGAGCGGGATCCATCCCGCTCGCTGCCTTGCCTTCTTCCATAGCCGCGCGCAACCCCTCCGCAAGGAGAGGCTGCGCGGGGCTAAAGGGGAAGGCAAAACAGCGAGCGGGATCCATCCCGCTCGCTGCCTTGCCTTCTTCCATAGCCGCGCGCAACCCCTCCGCAAGGAGAGGCTGCGCGGGGCTAAAGGAGAAGGCAAAACAGCGAGCGGGATCCATCCCGCTCGCTGCCTTGCCTTCTTCCATAGCTGCGCGCAACCCCTCCGCAAGGAGAGGCTGCATGGGGCTATGGCTTCTTTAGCCCTGTGCAGCGTCTCCCGGCAAGGAGAGGCTGCATGGGGCTAAAGGGGAAGCCAAAACTTGGCTTGCTCCATAGCTGCTCGCAACCCCTCCGGCAGGGAGAGGTTGTGCGCACCCTGTACGCTGCTCTTTGGGGCTGGGGGGGGGGAAAGATTTTTTTCTTGATTTCCCCCCTAAAAACTGGGTGCGCCCTATGGTCCGGTGCGCCCTATGGTGCGAAAAATACGGTATACAACTTTTAGAAGACATCTGAAGGCAGCCCTGTTTAGGGAAGTTTTTAATGTTTGATGTTTTATTATGATTTTATATTTGTTGGAAGCCACCCAGAGTGGCTGGGGAAACCCAGCCAGATGGGTGGGAAACAAATAATAAAATTATTATTATTACTACTATATACCTCTAATAATCAAGTCTGATTTGAGGTGGTTTACAATGTGGGGAAAATCCCCCACATGGATGCATCTTCTATTGATGATGTTGCTTTCCTCACAAAAGTGACCAAAATCAACTTACAAAAACAATAAATCATTAAAACCAAGTGCCCATAGTCTCCAGGAGCTGGGACAAGATGTGCAGAGCATTGCTGCAAAGACCAGTGCCGTCAAGGTTAACCATTGCGATCTGCCCCTAACTTCTAAACAGGGATTAAGAGGAATGAGAAGAGAAAAATAAATGAGGAACCACAGCTGTTTGAAGTCCAGAAAAAGATTCCCATTAAGTTCAAGTGCAAGCCTCTGGCGAAAGGAAAACTCACTGTCTGTCCCAAGAGTGGTGTGCGCTATGGATAAAAGCACAAAGCTATTAGTGGGAGGATCAGAAAAGTGCAGGAGCAAAGACCATAGAGGTGAAGAGAGAGAGAAATGTGTAGATGTGATCTGTTACATTTTGTTTTTACATTCTGGTATACAAAGCCTTTGGCAAAGTTAATGCGTCTTCTCACAATTTCCGTTAAATAATTTTACATTGACACAAATGTTTCTCATAGTAACACATTGCATTTTCTTGGTTTGTTGCCCAGGTTATAATTTTTGGACCAGGAATAACCAAAGAGGGAGGAAAGAATGCAGATGTATGGCTATGGCAGCTGGTATGTGATGCTAGTTCCATTTCACACTAACTATGTAGGTAGGGTAAAAAGGTAAATGACCCCTGGAAGGTTAAGTCCAGTCAAAGGCGACTGTGGGGTGCAGCGCTGATCTCACTTCAGGCCAAGGTAGCCGGTGTTTCCGCACTGGCAATACTGTATTTTTCGCTCTGTAAGACGCACTTTTTCCCCTCCAAAAATTAAGGAGAAATGTGTGTGCGTCTTATGGAGCGAATGGCTTCGCGTTGCTTTTGCTGAAGCCTGGAGAGTGAGAGGGGTCGGTGCACACCGACCCCTCTCGCTCTCCAGGCTTCAGGGATAGCTGCCCGAAGCCTCCGGAGCACAGCAGGAACTCCCGCTGCACTCTGGAGGCTTCGTGTTGCTTTCGCTGAAGCCAGGAGAGCAAGATTCTCCTGGCTTCAGGGATAGCCACAGCGGGAGGAGAAATGGAAGGGGCTCCGCTTCTCCTTCCGCTTCGCTGCAGGGGCGCTGTGCAGAGAGGGAGAGAATTTTTTTTCTTGTTCTCCCCCTCTAAAACTAGGTGCATCTTATGGTCGGGTGCATCCTATAGAGCGAAAAATACGGTAATTCTTCCATCGAACAAGCAATGGAAATAAATGAGGTGTGTGCAATGAGCATAAGTGGCTCAACAGGTAGGATAGAATTGCTATGGTAGCTTCTGGGGTAGCCAGTTGCTTATCTGGAGGGAGAGCAGCAAGGTTACATAGAGGCTGGCATGCTGCAAAGCCAATCCAGTGTTTGGCCATGTCTCCCCCAACCCTACCCCACAGCCTTGTCCCTTTTCCTCCTGGCAAGCAATAACAACATACTTGTCAGAAAGCAAGCATAGCTGCTCTGCCCCACTCTGTGAAGCCTCCATGGTCAGAGGATCCAGCTGTGGGTTCGAGTTTGGCTCAGGAGAAAAGTCTTTCACTCCAGGGGTTACAGACGATGTTGGGACACCCTCATCAACGCTGCAGTTGGACTGAGGCAGTGGGGTTCACCCATGGATTCCTCAGCAGTTTCTGAACCTAGTCTACTGTTGATGCTGGCTATGCCTCAGTTTAAGAATATATGATGATTATTGCTGGATCTTGTCAAAAGTCCTTATAGCCCAGTTGTCCCATTGGCAGCCCACAAGCACAACCTGAGTGTAAAAGCATTCTCCCTACCTACCCACTTGAAATAGTTCTGCTCATGCAAGACCTCCATTAGTCCTCACAGGAATGAAATGGCTCACAGAGCATCATTCTTACAAGAAAGATATGAACCCTTTTTAGTAGTGTATTCATGGTTTTCCTTGTAGTAATGTCAGTCTGGAGGAGACTCTTGAGAGTCCCATGGACTGCAAGAAGATCAAACCTATCCATTCTGAAGGAAATCAGCCCTGAGTGCTCACTGGAAGGACAGATCCTGAAGCTGAGGCTCCAATACTTTGGCCACTTCATGAGAAGAGAAGACTCCCTGATGTTGGGAAAGATTGAGGGCACAAGGAGAAGGGGACGACAGAGGAAGAGATGGTTGGACAGTGTTCTCGAAGCTATCAGCATATTTTTGACCAAACTGCAGGAGGCAGTGGAAGACAGGCGTGCCTGGCGTGCTCTGGTCCATGGAGTCACGAAGAGTCGGACACAACTAAACGACTAAACAACAACACAATGTCAGTCTAGTCCCTGTTGGCTTGGTGAGCAACTTTTCAGGTCCTGGAAAGAATTTCAAGGATTTGAGGGGAAGACTGAAAAAATACTTTGAACAACCAAGTGCTGTATTTTCAGGCTGACATATCTGTCAGCACACTGCTAGCTTAGTTGATTAACAATGCCACAGAAGTGGGTCGCCTCAAGACAGCTTCATTATGTGGAGCTGTGGGCTGCAAAACTCAGTCTGATTCCTACTCCTCACAGTGCATCTGTACTGGGTAGCAGGGGAGTTTTTCTGTTGGCTTTACTATGGAGGTTAAGCCTCACTCAGTTTGTTTGTTTTTTTATTTCAAATCAAATAGTTCCACAAATGAAAAGGTCAGCTATCACTACAAAATTCCAGGGAGAGGTGAATAGCTTTCCCCCAAAATTCTACATCGACTCACATTATTGGTCTCAATGCTCCCCCCGCCCTGCAAGTAATGAGCCCTAAACTGATCAAAACAAAGGAGAAACTTTTCACTGCATACTAGGTTTGCACAACCAGTTTTTCAGTTTTTCTCAGCCAATGGCGGCATACGAAGAACTTGATGTGGAGCGTGTGTGAGAGTGGGGTTTTGTTGGGGTTTTTTTTGTTTGTTTGTTTTGGTAATGTACAATATAAGTAAACAAATTTAAAGTTACGAAATTTCAATCCATGTGAAAAATTCAAATTAAATAATTACATGAACTGGGATTGAAGGGGGTGTGGAATCTTTTTTATGTTAGCTAAAAGGGGACATGTATTGAAAAAAGTTGAAAAACACTGTAGTTAAATGAAACATCTTCCACCAGCAGCCAAATCTAGGTTCTTGTCCCATCGACCATTCAGTTTATTCAGGTCCCAGAAAGAGGAGAACCAAGAATGTCTATCAAGCCTGTGGCATATAGTTGTTAATGACTGGTTTGGGCCACAAGCCCTGCTATTACAGTACAGTGGTACCTCGCAAGACGAATGCCTCGCAAGACGGAAAACTCGCAAGACGAAAGGGTTTTTTGTTTTTTGAGCTGCTTCGCAAGACGATTTTCCCTATGGGCTTGCTTCGCAAGACGGAAACATCTTGCAAGTTTGTTTCCTTTTTCTTAACACCGTTAATACAGTTGCGACTTGACTTCGAGGAGCAACTCATAGCACGTGGCGTGGTAGCCTTTTTTGAGGTTTTTGAAGACTTTGGCGATTTTTGAAGCTTTTCCAAATCTTTTCCGACACCGTGCTTCGCAAGACGAAAAAAATCGCAAGACGACAAAACTCGCGGAACGAATTAATTTCGTCTTGCGAGGCACCACTGTATTAATTGACTTGTTTATTACCCAGATCACTAGATTACTGATGATTTGGTTAGAATGACTGATTAGTTCATTAAGATATACTTCCTAGTTTGTGGCTGCTAATGACAGTCCAGGAAGAATTAAAAGCCTGTCTTTTGTTCCTGCCTTTTCAGGAAGGAACATCTTTTGTTACTGCTGACAGTAATACCCTGTGTCTAGCAAATGGAGACAGCCTTCTCATCCCAGAACAGGCTGCGTAAGTATACAACAGTATGTGAGATTGGCCACCTTTTGCAAATGGCCACCTCCTCTCACCCAGGTATTGGTACATCACTGCTCCTTCTGCTTTCTATTAATGGAAAATTCATTTAGTTTCTACACCAGGGGTAGCAATTATTTATTTATTTTGCTGAACTACAGCTCCCATCCTTCCTAACCATGATAACTGAAGCTGGTGGACATTTTTCAACAACATCTGAAGGACACCATATTGGCTACCCCTGTTTGTGTGTAGTGGCACCAGTATTTTGTAACACTGTTCCTACTGAAATCAGACAGGTGCTGTCATTTTGATATTTTTGATACCAAAAGATATTTTGTTTCACCAGGTCTTCTCAGAGAATTTATGTTTCACTGTTGGCTATTTCCCCTGTACAGTCGTACCTTGGAAGTCGAACGGAATCCATTCCGAAAGACCATTTGACTTCCAAAATGTTCAGAAACCAAGGCACTGCTTCCGATTGGCTTCAGGAAGCTCCTACAGCCAATCAGAAGCCATAGAACCCATGCTGGATGTTTGGGTTCCAAAGAACATTTCCAAACTGGAACCACTCACTTCCAGGTTTGCGGCGTTCGGGAGCCAAAACATTCGAGTTGCAAGGCATTCGATTTCTGAGGTACGACTGTATTTTAAAGATTTAAATATACACCATTTTTTATATAATTATTGAGTTTGTGGTCCTAAGATCTATGGGTATAGGGTGGTATGCAAATTTAATAAATAAATACAATAAAATAAAATAAACATATTTGCAATTTATTTATTAAAATGATTGCTTAATGGGACATTCTTCAGAGTGACGATAGACAAGTCCGCTCACCCTCTCGATGTGGCAGCATTGTGGGATGGCAGAGGCTCTTCTAAGACCCTCAAAACGATGAGGGATTTGAGGATGGTGTCCTGCCCTGATAGGTGGCCTGGGCGTAAGCCCGGACTACCTATCACGAGCCAGATCCTAGCCTGCACCAGGAATTGGCAAACGGGGGTGCAGGCTTGGACAATGGGCTGGAGCTGACAGAGCAAGAAGGCTTCCCTCAGGTCTGTGCCCAGGCCATTTAAACAGCCTCCACTTGGAGCTCGACCTTGCTTTTCTTCGTCGGGTTCCTCTCAACTAGTTCGTTGTTGGAGCGTCAGATTGGCTGCTTCGCTTGCCCCAGTGGAGTCATGATAGCCAAATGTTTTGTGAGGGTTCTTGTTTTGCCTTTTCTAACTTTGTTCCACAAGTCAAATACAAAGCATGAGATTTTGGCTGCAATACACATTTACATCAGAGTAAACCTCACTGATATGAGTGGGGATTTCTTCTGAGTGGTATAGGTTTGTCTCAAACTAAGCATTCTCACGCTGCCATTCCACTCCTGTTTTCTTGGAATGCTTTTTACCTTTAATCTACTGAACTAGAAAGGTGCCTGTTATGTACTGAGCTGAATAGGATCCAAAAGGCAGCAGTCTGATTGGTCCTAGAACAATAGGATTCAGAATGCAGCAGTCTGATTGGTCCTAGAACAATAGGGTCCAGAATGCAGCAGTCTGATTGGTCCACAGGAGCCACCCAATCCAGCTCCAGGTTGAAGTGAATCCGCAACCTGATTGGCCTACAGGTGAATCCCAGAATTAGCCAATTACATGGGGCCCATTGTGTAAATAATGTATATAAAGCAGACATTCTGGCGGAAGTTCTATTCCTCCTCACCACTATGAGCTGAATAAAGAGCATGAAATCCACCCTCGACTCCGAGTATATTTCAGTGGCAGTGATACAGCACCGGAAAAGCAAGGAGGCTTAACTCTGTCCCATATTCAGGAGGACCACCAGCTTTCAGGTTCCTGTCCCATGCCCTAATAATTTGTGATCCGCACACCATAGATTGCTTTCCTATTTAGAATTAATGTGCTCCGTATGTTTTACAGTTGGTAGAACCCGGCTCTATGATGGGGAATTGACACCTTGGGACTCATTGCTTTGAACTGCATTGAATCCCCCCCATATGTTTAATCTGGTGAGATGTTCATTCTCAGTCATGGCAGTCCAGTCTCATTACAACAATCTAATGCTTCCACTTATTTTGGCAACACTCTGTATAGCTGACTGCTCAATTAAGCAATGACATTTTCCCTAAACTACCATTTTACTTCTTTCCATTCTGCTAGTTAAAGGTAAAGGTAAAGGACCCCTGACCATTAGGTCCAGTCGTGACTGACTCTGGGGTTGCGGTGCTCATCTCGCTTTATTGGCTGAGGGAACCGGCATACAGCTTCCGGGTCATGTGGCCAGCATGACGAAGCCGCTTCTGGCGAACCAGAGCAGCAAATGGAAACGCTATTTACCTTTCCACCGGAGCGGTACCTATTTATCTACTCACACTTTGAGGTGCTTTCGAACTGCAACGGGAGCTCACCCAGTCGCGGGCATTTGAACCGCCGACCTTCTGATCGGCAAGTCCTAGGCTCTGTGGTTTAACCCACAGCGCCACCCGTGTCCCTTCTGCTAGTTACCAGTAATTAAATTCAGGAGCAGGAGGTGAAGTGAGAGGCGGAAGAGATTTGGTATTTGGTAAAAAGTGTTCCGCATCCTCAGAAATTCTTCTAGCATTGTCAACAAGCAATGAATAACCTAAAGGGAGAGTTTATTGTTATCGGGCAATGAACGCTTAGAGTCAATCTGAAAAGATTAACTGATATGGTTTAAAAAACCAGCAGGTTCAGTGGAGGGGAGCGTGTCTGCCATTCAGTCCCATTCTCTGTTTTGTTTTGAAGGTTCCAGTGGAAGAGAGCTGAAGGATCCATTGCTCTTTCCATTATTCAGGATCCTGCACGGAAAAGACCCTATACCTGAGTTCCTGGCAAGACAGATTAATAAAAGACTGATAAAATGTTTTATGTGAGCACTGCAATCTCAGAAGAAGAAGAAGAAGAAGAAGAAGAAGAAGAAGAAGAAGAAGAGGAGGAGGAGGAGGAGATTCATTAATCTTGAATCCACACATCTAAAACTATATGACACCACTTTAAACAGTCATAGATTCCCCCAAATAATCCTAGGAATGGTAGTTTGTTAAAGTTGACACGGCTCCCTAGGAAGAGGGATTGATTGTCAAACGACTCTGGAATTGTAGCTCTGGGAAGGAATAGGAGAGTTTACAAGCAACTCGCAGCACCCTTAATAAACTACAGGGCAACTGATATGACTTTTCATATGTGGTGGGCATGTGAGCTGTTACAACCATTCTGGGAAAGCGTATGTACAGAAATAAGCAAAATCACGGATCAGGACATATAATACAATCCAAGCCTAGGCTTATTAACAGATATTCAACTTAATTTGTTATACAAGGAACTTATTGATTTTCTTCTGGTGGCTGCACAATTACTCATAGCAAAGTCATTGATCACCTACACATCAGACAATGGGGGGGAGGGATGCACAATTGCTTTGTCCGAGAAACTAACAAAGAGAGTACATGTCTCAAAAGGCATCTGATCTGGATAATTTTGTTGAAATATGTTACCCCTTTATGAAATATTCACATGGACTTATGGGAAAATCTGATTCATTAGTCTTCTGTTCCAGGGAGAGGGGGTGGAAATGGGGAAAACCAATTGTTCTGTTAATGTTTATATTTTTCGAAAGCGATAACAATTTTTTTTAAAAAAAATGGAATAAAAATAAACAACAACTCTAAGATTTTAGGGGTGGGGGAAGCCATGGCTGTTTAAAGTGGAATCATAGTAATTTAAATGCATGGTGTGAATGTGGCCTAAGAAAAAATAAAACATATTTCAGTGTTCCACCAGGAGTGAGGGCTTGTAAAACGAATGCCTAGTTGTTATATATAACACAGTGTCAGAACTCTTGAACAGACTTGCATCACCCACAACACCAGATTTAATTTTAAAAGTTGGCAGGCGTCAGTATATAGGTAGAAAAATTCAGTTTTGGAATTCTTAGTGCTGAAAGGGATGCAGTGGGGTGAGGGGAAGGATCTGGACAGTCTGAGCCAGTGGTTCATAGATCCCACTCAAAAAAGCCAAAAGGAGCTGTGTAATAGGAAGCTGAATTGATGGCTTGAAACATGAGTTTTGATTAAAAAAAATAGGGAGCTGATGAAAGTTTTGAAAGTAGAGGAAATGAGAGCAAGTGATGTATAGAGTCAGTGAATTCTTTTTGATTAACCAAGAAATCGACACATTGTGCATAACAACACTTGCCCACCATTCTCTATAAACCCAAGCTCCTCATGTTTCAAGCGTTCCTAAATGATTGACTTTGCAGAATACAGTGAGCAAAAATCTCCCCTTTCATGCTGATTCGACTGCTATCGTATATTGCAGCCAAAATAGTCCTGGCCATTTTGAACCCACTTACCCCCCTCTGTCTTGGACCATTACACGACAGCATATAGCATATTTGAAAGAAAGGAAAACACAAGAAAGGTTGACAAGCTTAGGGGGAACAGAGTAAATATTTATTATTTGCAGGAAGGCAGAATCTTGAGGTGACTCTCGGCCTGTTTTAAAAGTTTGCATTGCAGAAATCAGAATCATCGCAGCATTTGACTTCCCGACGGATACCATTTTGATTAGGACAAGGCACATTACACGTCACCATATACTTCAATGCACAATCGAGTATTTTATCTCTAAACACCCCATCTGAGACAACGTGTGAAGAGGAAAAAAGAGGAAAAGAGAAAAGAGTGAAGATATGTATCATTCTCATCCTCAGTTACCACAATGATTAACTGGAATTCACATAAAATATCCAAAGTGCTCTCCATTAAAAAAAACCTGGTAATACTGATGGCTGAAAGAATAAAGAAACACAAGGGCTGAATCTAGACATATATATATATAAACATTTTAGGAAAACATGTTGTAAACTTTATAATGGGAAATCACGTTGGAGAAAGATGGGACTCCACAGTGCCATCCAGTGTCACAGTGTTATAATGCATATAAAATGCTTTTTCTTTACTAATGCAGCTGAGTCCAATGTTTATTACTCTGGGGAAACAAAGCTATTCTGAATACAGGTACACATGTCTCTCCCCAACTTCTTCAACAGCCCCTAAATCTGCTCTAGAATGTAGAGAGAAACACACAAGTTTAGGAAGCATATATGGGAAGGAGTGGAGTGGAGTATTGTGTGGTACCCTCATGCGTACTGTGGGATATTGCAGTGAAACATAAGTATGCACGGAGGGTTTGAGACCACAGAGCTGTGTTTTATAGAATTGGGTCATACACCCTCTTTTCTGGTGATGTAGGTATCTTATTTGTCCTTCTTTTAATTATTTCAATGTGCTGCGGGGGGTGACAATAAATTTTCTGCATGTGGTACCACCTGACCTTGATACGCCACTGGGTGATGAAGGAAATAAGACCTTCTCTTCCTTTCTACACTCACACTCTCTTCAACTATGTAACAACTTGGAAAGACATGTCTGAGCTTGTTGCATACAAGCTCAGACTGCATGCTTGAAGCTATGCTTCTGACAAAGGCATTTCCATGAATTATTCCCCATTGCTGTATCACTAAGCTGAAAGAAATGGAAAATAAACAGAAGGGGAATGTGGACCATGGAGCCCAAACAAGGCACAACCTTTGCAGCTGTTTCTTACTTTCGCGGGTGGTGATGGCAACACAGGTTCCTCCATCATCAACTTCACATGTTTGGTCGTTGCATGGTACTCCTGGTATCATAATTAGGCATTTTGTACAGAGGCGAGCACCTGCTCCAAAAGACAAAACCAAAATGTTGTGAATAATGGAGGGTTGCTTTGATTGATGGATTGTATTTTTCCCCCAAATAATATTTATTCAGAGTTTCATGAATACACATAAAAAACCCCAGCCCTAGCCCAAAAAAGAAAATAGAAAAAGAAAAAAGAAAAAATACAAATCTCAAATTACAGTTTTTCATTTGCCTAATTATTGAACCTCCTCACACCTCCCTTTTTGTATTCTAGTTTAGTTCGTTATTTCAGCAAATTCTTCCCATATTTCTTAATTTTAATTTAAATAATTAATCTTCACACTCTATCTTATTTATTAATCCACTTATCCTTTCCCTCTTTTAATATAATCTATTATTCAATTTACTTTACTCTCTTTAACCTTATCTTATCTTAAAAATCTTAAAATTTCAAAATCACATCACATTCATGCATTTCTCCTTAAAATCATTTCTACTAAAGCCAATTTAGTTCCTTTCCAGCATAATCCCTCAAATTTCAATAATATTACACTAATTCCATAATTAACATAAGAAATTCCCTTCATATCTCTGATTCTCATCCAACGTCCCTTCTTCCTGGTTTCGGCTCATATCAGTCCTTTCTGTCCATTACATAGTCCATCAATCTGGTGTTCTAATATCCGAGGCCCTTAAATCTCTTCTAGGCCCCTTCTGCAAATTTTTTTGTTTTTGTTTGTAATTATGCAGTTCTTTGTCTATTGTTGGTTTCTGGGGGAGTGGGTCCCCGGAGGGTTCCATCCAGTAATGATTTCCATTTTCCTTCATCCGATTGTCTCCTTCCCCCCAGTCCCACTCCCAATCTTCATCCTTGTAGTCCAAAAAGCATTTGTCCAAATAGTTATTCACCTGTTTCACAGTCCCACTAGAGTAAAAAGCTTCCTTGAATTCAAATACTTCCAAGCACTCTCCAAGTACAATCTTCCAATGCAGTAGCTTTTGTTCCTGTAGAACTTTGAATCTTGTCATTTGTGTTGTATAAGGAGTAGCTACTGCCTCTTCCTTCTCCATCTGGCTTTGGACTTGCCTTGTCAAACCGGATTCCTGAGTTGATCGCTGTGTAACTTCTTTATCCTTGTTCCCTGTTAAATCATATTCGCTGGCCACAGCACTCATAAAGTCCAGTTTTTCATTCATCAGGCTCATTTTCTCAGACAGCTGCCCCAGCAGAGCATTAGTCCTACCAAGGGCAGACACCAAACCTTCCTGCCAACACATTTCTGTTCAAGAGCAAGGTCAAACGGCTGTTCCCACGGTCCAAAACTCACATATGTAAGCTGTAACCGCAAACTGACAGGCTCCCTCTAGGGGACACAATTTCTATTTGTATCCATTTTTTTTAAGGAAGTATCAAACAAAGAAAGTTACTTTCAATTTCAAGTCCTTTCAATTTCAAATACTTTGTTTCTTTAAAGAGCAAAAATGCAGAAGGTAGTGTTGAAGTTACTTTGTTTCTCTTTATTTTTTTTTCTAGCTGTCAAAATACTCCACTTTCAATCAATGGACGTCTCAAACAGTTTCTGTCCCGACACCCCGTCCCCAGGTTTGGGATGGTGGAAACTTCCTTTTCTCACTTCCTGCAGGATTAAACAGTCAAATCCCCCCCCCTTTCTCCTGCTTTCAAGGGGTTTTTTGTTGGTTATGGGTGCAGGAAATTTCCAACTTCAAGAGAACTTTTTAGGCTATTAGGTTGCAAGGTCTTTGCTTCAATCCGTATACAAGAACGGGAGGCGGACTTCCTGTTTACACCTTCCCGCTTCATGCCTAATTCATAAATTTGCAAATTCTTAATCCGATTCTCCATTTTTACTCACGGGTACTTGATTTAGAGTCCAAATGTCATCAGGAAAAAGTCAGCGCTCTCCGGCGATGGCTGCGCGGCTTCCCTCCATGGAAATAGCAATCGGTTCGATGCACCGCGCTGCTCACCCCACTTCACTCCGGAGCCCCAAAAATGGGTTTCCTCGTGAGTAGGGGAGGCGCTCTTGGTGCTCTGCCGAACCCCACGTTCCCAGGCTTCCTCCGCCTGGGATTTCTAACGGGCCCCCGCCTTCGCCGCGGCGGGAAGACCCAATTTCCACGGGGCCCGTTCCTCCGGTTGGAGGAACTCCGCCATTCGCCGATGGTGCTAACCCGGAAGCGATTGATGGATTATATTTCTATGCCGCTTTTCATTCAAAGGAACCCCAAAGTGTCTTAGAAACAATGAATGACAATAGGGTAATAGAGCATCAGAAATACATCACAAATCATAAGACAGAATACAGCATAAATCATACAGAATAATTAACAAGATTTTTAAAAAGCAATAGCCAAATGGCCACGGAGTTTCCCTAAGCATCTGTAAAATGTGAAATGGAGAAATGGAGAAAGAGGCAGCCCCCAGACCACTTCTGAAGGACTTCATGCTTGTAAAAGTAAAGCTGGGTGGATTTTTCATGGCTTGTTCTTTAAAGAATTGACCCCAAATGGGATTAAAAGGAGTTGGCACAGGATGGGAAAACATTGAGCCATCCATAAGTTCAGATTCTGTGGACAGAGCATAAATTTGGTTTGGTTCATACTTCAGTATGAAACTACCTAAGTTGCATTTTCCTTTTCTTAACCTGCCTCCGTTGGCTGACAGTGCTTTTCCCAACTCTTGCAAAAAGAACATACCTCCAGGTGTGAGGAACAGGAAAACAGAGATTGCAAGAAGTACTTGACTTGGGATGGACATCTTGGTATCAAACGGACACTGTATGTTCTCTAGCAGAGCCCCAAATCACAGAGGAATAGATGTGGACCTTCACTAGATTCCTCCAGGTTGGGGAAGCTTCTTCCTTTGATCCTTTTAACAACAGCCTACAGATCATGGTGTCCTCGGAAAGGGACTATAAAGATAAATGAGTGGGCCATAACATCATGACTGGCCACTCATCACAGAACAAAAATCCCAATTTAAGTGAGAACTTGAAGTGTGGGTGGAACAGATTCTTTGATGTCAGGGCTTCAATGGCCTCTGCAAGTCTCCACTAGCACACCTGCCACTTTTAGGACCAAATAAATGCATGGCAAATTC